TTGGATTGAAACCAACTGACTATTTTCAGTTCAATTGCTGAACTAAAAAAAATCATTTGCTCATCCTTAGTAATCACTTTACTCAGTTTGTAGGCTTGAGCCCACAGATAAGTTAGGCATCTGTTTACAAACTGATTCAGTGGTGCAGAAACACCCGCCTGCAATGTGAGTGTAAAATAAAGAAAATGTCCGGTCGCGGCCTAGTGAATTGGGCAGTAAACACCATTTGATGCTAGGGGCTTATCTACATGGAGCAATGTGTTCTATGGGATGTGATTTCTAAAGCACACTAACAGGTTGAACATTAATTGATCCATATAGACCCTGCTGATGTGTTTTAATGTAAAGCTGCTGGAAGCAGAAGGGAATCTTTAGTGAACATCAGGGTCTGCATGGACCAATTGGTGTGTAACAACTTAGTGTGCTTTAGAAATCATCCCCACATAGATTGCATTACCCCTACTATGTAGACAAACCTTAGGATTCCCCCCAAATCAATATGTACATATAAAATGTAGTGGCAGCAACGAGAAGAACACCAGTTATATTATCACCAAATGGTTAATTTATAAAACAAAGTACATTAGATATGACATTAAGATGATAACCTGAAGATTGTTATGATGTGGTGGTCAGACAAGTATTGCTAGTGTTTGCCTGTAGCACAGTGAGTACTTCACCCCCTCATGTTTTATTTTGGCTTGTATTGGTCCTGTCTGAAATGCTAGTGTGTGGAGTTAAAATTGAGCATTCAAGCTTTATTTCTGACATGATGCTAAGGGAAGGGATATATTGTAAGTTATGCTGCAGTGTCAGGACAGAGCCATGCTAGAAAAGCACATTACAAATGTTGTATTAGTCATCCAAATAAATCCCCTTTTAATATTTTCTTTGCAGTGGAGCAAGTAGTTGTTGGAATTTAGCATTTTTGGTTTGACCATGTATAGTTCAAATGGGCTGCCTCTTTTACTTATTTGTCACCCAACAGATTCTCTACATATCACTACATTGCACACTTTGGCCCACATTTTCAAAAATAAGTAGTGATTTTTGGAGGCCCAGTTTGCAACAGCTTTTGAGAGGCTTGGTGCACAGCTTTTCTAAAAATCAGGCCCCATTGTGGAGTGTCAGGGCAAGCACTTAAAATCTGAGGCATCCAAAATCACCAGTCATATTGACAATTAAGCCCTATACTTTTAAACAGAATTTGAAGGCAACTATAACTGTTGCTGCCTTTATTCTAGAAAATAATAATTAAACAAGTGTGGGGGCCTCAATTTATTCTTAGACTTATTGTTCAGCTTCATTTTTCTCTTCTATTAGTTTTTCTATGGAATAGTTAAGACACAATTTGTTTTTTGTTTTTGGCAGCTAAGCTATCAACTCTGAAATGCTGGGCAAACAAATGGCCTTATTAATTTTAGGCAAAATACACATTCACTTGCAATGGGACTTCAACTCCCTTAATAATTATTAGATGGGATTGTAAGGGTTTAATAAATACTCTACCATATATATTTAACATTGTTAAAAATGAATACATTGAAAGACACACTTAACCAGAAATTCCCACATTCAAAATGCTAAAACATGTATTTTGGCTTTTTTTACAAGATTACAGATATGTTAAATCAGCATGATTTATACTTTCTTAGGGATTTTCCACACAAATAACACCTTATCTTCTTTCATATTTATAATTTAAAGTCGCCTAACTATTCCCGATTAATTCCACATATACTCATACTTATTCCAGAATATGAGTTCCTTATTCAGTAATAGTTTAATTCATTGCATTAAGCTAATTCAGAATGGCCTGGTCTACACTAAAGGGGAATGTTGACTTAAGATATACAACTTCAGCTATGTTAATTATGTAGCTGGAGTCAACATATTCTGAATCATGTTTTTGGGCCATCCACACAGAGGGATGTCGACAGAAGCAAACACTCCCAATCGACTTCCCTTACTCCTCATGAGAAGCTGGATTAGCAGTGCCAACAGGGGTACCCTCTCAGTTCGAATTAGAGGATCTTCACTAGACTTGCTAATTCAAGCCTTGGAAGATTGACTGTGACAGCTTGAATCTTCTGTATAGTGTAGACATGGCCAATAAGGTTTGCTCATTCTGGAATAAAAGCATCCATACATAGCTATACTGAAAAAACTCCCTGTGCATCAAACTGATTCATAACATTTTGAAATCAGTGGGAATCCTTCTCCTGATTTCATTGTTTTAGAGAAGACCCACAAAGTCTAATACTTTTAACAATCATTTAGATTGTGACACAAACCATTAGTTGCTCAAGGACTCAAGAAGGCAAAAGCTGGTGTGTTCTGTTATCTTTGCACAGGTATCTGAGATTTTAGAAGCTTGAGCTAGTCTTCATTCTGAATATCCTGCTTTCTCTTGGTTTCATCTCCCTTGTAACTGTTATGACTTTTTAAATCTACTGGAGTCTTCAGTACTCTGAGTCCTCTAAACCAACATTTATATTAATAAAAAATATAGTGATTATAATTATTGCTTCTGAAACAATCACTACATGTAAATGCTTGTTTTTAAAAAATATCTATGTGTCTGATGAATGGAGGCAGGGGATAGAATGCTACTATCAAGAACAGGAGTTGTCTCATTCACATCTCACATGTATTTTTGCTTCTTGGGCTGGTAGAAGCTACACAGGAAGTGAAGGAAGATCATGCTGAAGACTGCATAAAGAGGATTTGCACCACTATACGTTTCCCTTGCAAGACTAGGTGGCCACATCTCTCCAAGTTAAAGTGGATGTAACTTTACACTTTTCTCATTATGCTGTAGAAAACACTTGAGGATATGATAGATTCAGAAGGAAGAAGCATTTATTTTTATTTTCATGTCAACTGGGAAATCTTTTACTCAACTTTTAAAAGTATTTGACTAAACATCAGGGACATGTAATATCAGAATAAACATGAGCTCACCAAATGTATTTTATTTTCCACCAAGTAAAAGAGAAGCGATTAATCTTTAAGTCCCTTTTTAATGCTTGAGTATTCATTCATGAACATATTCATATAGCATCTCATCATCATTCAGTTTTCTCTATTCTATTTTTTCCCCATGATTGAAATATACCAAAAACACATAAATGTGCCCTAAAAACAAAAGACGGGGGTTTAGTTTTATCTTTACAATGGGATGAAATCAATTTAGAATTAACCATCATAATATTTCTACCTCTTATTGAACCCTTGGGCTACAATTGGATAATCTCAGTTTCCTCTATGCCTTTATTGAATGAATGATGAGGAAATGACAGCTTAGTTACACTGAATTACAAAAAAAGTGTTAAATGGCTATGAAATCCATTTACTCTGGTGTAACTGGGTTAGAATGATTTGTGTGAGTTTTAAATCACCTATAATTAAATAACATTCTGGAAAACACTAGCACAAACCAGAAAATTTAAAATTAAGGCAAACACTCTTGTGTGTGGGTATGTGTGCATGTGTCTGGGTGGGGTGAGGCTGGAGATGAGGGAAGATGGACAAAAGGCACAATGATGTCAGGACAATGTGTTGACCTTAATTTAGAGTTTCCTGGTTTTTATCATATCAGCCTAAGGTTTGAAATGTGTGTTCCCTCAACCCCTTTGGAAAGAAGCATGACAGACAGAATCCTGTGAACATTTAAAATATTGAATCATATATATTTAATAGATGGAAGAGTAAATTATTTCCATGGAAAGTGGTCTACAAACTTGCTCTCTCCACAGCCAATCAAGGAAGCAGGAAAGAAAGTGAATTGTGATTCGCTGAGACCCAAACTATTCTCTAATGTGTTCCTGGGTTAGCGCAGATATACACTACCTCTGACTCATTCCAGATTGTCAGGTTACAATCTAGTTCCAAGAGCTAGAGCCAACCCACACTGGCATTAAGTAAAAAGACCACCACAGACTTCAATGGATTTCTGTTGAGCCCTAAATGACAAGAAAGGTTTTTGTTAATCAGTGGAAGGTCCTGTTTGCTTTCCTGAAAGCAAGAGGACAATCAAATGAAGCTCTGACCAACCTCAACTGCCATTAACTTTAATGAGAATTGAGAAAGCTTATGTCTTCCAGAGATGTCCCTCACATGTGTTCAAAAATTGTGATTCAGCCCCCACAAAATAGCTTACAGTTTGGCCTACAAATCATGAGATTTTAAACAATAATAAATTTGGGGTTCTTTTTATTTGTCTTGTGTATTTGAGCCTTTAGGGGTCAAATTTTAAAGTATTTTCCTACAATCATGAGAGCTGCAAACGTAGGCATTTTTAAAATGAAAGCTGTGTCTCACATGACTCCCGGATTCGGGGTTTTAGGAAAAAATACAGACTCATGATATATTCATGAGATTTGACCATACAGTGTTCAACACCTTTCATATCTGGGCCAAGAGAAGAAGGAATTTAACCCATTTATTCAACACAGCTGAGCAGATCACTATTTGCAAAGCTCTCTCAAAAATAGGTTTACAATACAGATATAATTCTAAAAATTATGGAAAGTTATAAACTGTTTTTGTTTATGAAAATATTTGCATAATTGTATTTTTGGATTAAAATCCTTTTTAATTGTGTAGTTTTTATTTTATTAAATTGTTTAATTGATTGTAATTATGCCAGTGTTGCAAATATGCTCTTTAACTGTCAGTTTGCAAATGTGTAAGAGGTCAAAATATGTTATCCTGCTGGATGCAAATTTGTATCGGGGAATTTTTAAAAGAACTAGATGTTTTGGGGCTCTGCTGTAAGAGCCCTTTTGACCTTTTAATTCTTTGACCAATGTTGAAAAAGCTTGTGTGCACTTGAATAAGACAATAATGAACACTCTGCATAAAACCACTGTAGCCAAATATGCATGAGGGCTACGTCTAGACTGGCATGATTTTCCGAAAATGCTTTTAATGGAAAAGTTTTGGCACGGACGCTTTTCCGCAAAAGCACTTTTTGCAGAAAAGCATCCATGCCAATCTAGACGCTCTTTTCCGCAAAAAAGCCCCGAAGCTTTTGCGGAAAAGCTTGCCAGTCTAGACACAGCTAGATCTGATCTCAGTAAGGCTCTGATCTCAGGATCTCTGTGCATATGTTTAACTTGTCTGATGTGAGTAGCAGCAACAGAGGGTTAAATCGCAGACTTGCCATTAGCTGCTTTTATGAGAGAGCACATTATTGCAAACCGAGCAGCTCAAGAACCAGATTGCAACTCAGATCTCACCGCCTGAACGTGTATGTTGAGTTTCAGCTCAGAAGAAAGTTGTATGGGAGAATTATGTTCCTTTGGACAGATTAAAATGGGAATGAATAATTTATATTGCAACAGCAAAAATATCACTGGTACTTACAAACAAGTCAGATATTTTGAAAACATAGGATACTTTAGATCAAAGGCAGCATTTTTAGGTTAATCTTATCTCGCTTACTTGGCAGCTGCATATCCACATATTTTTCCTCCACCAATCCTTGTCAATTGCACTCTGAACTGGAAACAATACCTGCCAACTTCCTATTGCATCAATAGGGATTTTGTAGGCAAAGAGCTGGCAGAATCCAGCCCTTAACTCCTTTTACAATCTATGTCTACTACTGTACTTGGTTCTATTTATGGATGTGTGTGTCAAAAACAGTGTTTACAAAAAATATATCTTTTTTTCTTTAGAAAGATCTATTTCTGTTAAATAGTAAATTAGGATTACAGCTCCGAAACTGATGTGTCTTTACTAGTAGAACGTACTAGATTTAAAAAGTCAGATACTGATGAGGGAATGAATTGGAATGAAAACAAAAGTGGTCACAGTTGCATAAAGAATGCCTGAATATGTTTAATGTTGAAACAAGATATGTTATTTGCTATCATGTATGATCTATGAATGGACCATACTAGCTGTATGAGTTTGTGTATATGCTGTATGTATAAAATAAAATATGAAAATGCTGTTATTGAAATATTAGAAGTACTCTATTTGTCTAGATAAGAAAAAGTTGTAACATCACAAACAAAAATATGACACAGCATGCAATCACAATAGTAAGCACAAAAAGAAAAATCTTGTTAAAATATACATATATATGCATATTATGCAAATATATCTTACATTAACATACAATGTTATAAGAATGTTTGATCATGTGAATGCATGTTTAATAAAGAATATAGCTTGATGGTTTTATGTTGAATTAGCAAATAACCTGAGACGTGTTTACACTTTCACTAGAATAATGACCTTTAAAATCTATAGCAGATGCAGAACACATTGGCAGTAGTTGAATTCTTAGCTAAATTACACTAAAAATGTGCTTGTTTTTCAGAATGAAATATTAGCTGGAACCAGTCCAAGTGAAAAAAATTACACTGTACATTTTAGTACTTACAAAATATTCCTTTCATTGCTGATGGATATTTAAGATGGATGTTTGGAAACATGAACATGAATTTCTCCAAAACACTAAACAACACTCATCCAATGATTAGGCTTACTTACTGCAGAAGAGAAAGCAAGCGATCACTGAAAATTGCCAGGAAAAAAATCTATTACAACATATAAAAACAAGAACTGTTTGCAAGGAAAATTAATTTGGCTTGATGAAAGTAACATTGATGATATGCAATACAAATGAAATTTTAACTTTACCAATGGAACGGTGTTAGTTTACGTTCAATGTGTAGGTCAACTTTTACAAACATAATGTTTATGAATGCCGACTTGATATATGATTACAACTGTTTGAAAATTTCTATGACAGTCAAAGTGATATTATACAATATTCAATTTTCTCAAGGCTTACTGTTTTGAGGACAGCTGTCTTTCAATTTAAAAAAGTTCTTTTGATGTGCATTGTATATTGAATTATCCATAACCTCAGAATGTATATATATACCTGTGTGCATGTGTATATATAGAATACACTTCTGTGCACATGTCTATATATATACACATGCTTCCACATTATATGTATACACAAATACATGTGCATTTTATATATAATAAAAGTTCATATTATACATATATATATATAAACTTGACAGGCAGAGCAATATTTCATGTATTGTTAATGAAGTCTTTTAGAAAAGCAGTCACTCAGTTAACATAATATAACCAATAAATTAAGTTGAAAAGAGAAAATGTGAATGGAAACACTACCCGTGACCATCTGTCTATAGCATTCACATCCGTTAGATCAGGGATTTTTATTTTTAGCTGTGAAGACCTCCTCCGTAAATGGCTCTTCTTGCTGTGGGGTACTGTTCTATCCATTGTACGCCTTCCAAAGCTTTCCCTATGTGAACTTTGTTTTCTGTATTGGATTCCTGAGTTGTCAAAGGATATTGTTGAATTCCTAGCATCAGTAACGCTGGTTGTAACTTCATTGCTTGCCACTTCGTTGTGAATTTCCAGCGATGTTAGCAAAATGTTTCCATGGGCATCCACCTTGTTTGCAAAAGGAAATTCATATGGTTAGGATTCCAAATTTGTTTTCATATATAAACAAAACTGGAGTTCATATAGGCTCCCAAATCAACAAAATACCTATCTGACTTTAGGCACACAGGTGACCTCATTAAAATCAAACTAAATGATACTTTTCATCTGTTTTACTTAGACATATATTTGAGTGTTTTGCTGGTCAGGGTCATAATAAAAAAAAAGCATATGACATACAATTTCACTTTTACCATCTCCAAACACTTTTTTCCCCCATTTGAAAAACTCTGTTTTAGAGAATTAAGTTCAGTAATTTATCTGCATTTTTGGGCGGCGTAGGGAATCACCCTGAAAGGCCTTACGCTGTAAGAAAATAAATAAAACTAGATTAGCATTTCCGTATTCGATTTTCTCCTATCCTCACAAGACAAAGAAAAGATTACTGAAGTGTTTCTAAGGAAATCTTGAATGCCTTACATTTTGGAAATCTCAGAGGGGCAGCTGTGTTAGCCTGTAACTTTAAAAATAATGAGTGGTCCTGTAGCACCTTGGAGAATAACCATAATGCATAGAATCATGAGCTTTAGTGGGCAAAACCCACTTCAATTCATCTGATTAAGTGCGTTTTGACCACAAAACTTCATGATTCTATATATTTTGATTAGTATTGAAGGTGCAACAGGACCATTTGTTGTGTTTACATTTTGAAGCAACAGAGGACTTCTTTACAATTTTTTGTTACATTCTTCATTCCAAAGTCATTTACACAGTTTTGTAATCATAGTAAAGCAGAAGTTTCCAATTGGATGAGAGACCATAAAGTAACAGCAACAGGATTCACAAAGAGAAATCAGTGAATGGT